CGTCTCCAGAAGATGCGTCGCGGAACAGGTACGAGCACGCCAAAAGCGTGTGCGCGTCCCTGACTTGACTGGGGGGGTGGCGAGACGCCTTTCTTTTACGAGGTCCGTCGCGAACAAAACAAGACGGAGACTGAGATGCCAACCAAACAATGGCTTGCCCTCCCTCCCGTCGCTTGGGGCGACCATCTGTCAATGCTGCCTCGGAATCAATCCCAGCCGCAACCGCAACGGGCTGACCCGCTTCGCAGGCTGGAGTTTTTGTGTCTTCTTATCCCGTCTGTCTCTCCCCCGCTCTGGGGGAGCATAGGCTACATGTACGAGAGGGCATTCATTCGTACATACAACATGCATGCATCATGTATGTATGGATGCCTTTGAACCCAGGGAGCAAAAAGAGAGAGACCGGAAGCTGCATGATGGGAAGAGACGCTCCTTGCTTCACGGGGCATGCGAGGACTCATGTACTCCGTAATGTACGACGCACCGAAGCACTGTAGCCCGCATCACGAGCCGCCATTCATGACCAGCTCCATGGGGCAGGATAAGGCAACATGGAACACTTGACAACCGGACAGGTGAGATCGTGTCTATACTGTATCGTATCGTGTCGCATCGATTGACTCGCTTGTACCTGTACCTTGCGGCTTGCGTCCTGCTCCGCGACAGGCTCGCGTATTCGATACACGCAACTCGCGGTAAAGGGCCCCCTTGGAAGAAGCCAGGGCAGCCGTTTATCGCATATCGCCGACAGGCTGCTGCGCGTCTGGCCTGCGGCTTGCATGAGGCCGCGAGTCGCAATTCGTTGCCGCCAGCGTCACTGCATGACACCATCTGGGGCTCCTTTTTTTTTTCTCTTAACCCTCTTCCACCATCACAGCAATCACCTAGGCCTATCACGCAGACAGGCGCGCCTCACTCATCCCTTGATCCATGTCGCCAGCGCTGCACCCCCCACACGCATTTTCGCCCGTTCCATTCGAAGGGTTGCAAAAGCTGCCAGCGTGGAGAAAAAAAGAGTCAAAGTCAGGAGGATGGAGGGGGGTAGAGGAACGACGCTAAGAACCAAGTGATGGCGGCTTTGTGGGCTTCTGGTTGGCAGAAAAAGGGAATCTAGACAAACATGCCACTTGAGCCCGTCAAACCACCCACTAGATCCAGGAACAGGTGTCGTGTCGTCGACTCAGGCGGGCCAGCGAGGCTGTGGGAAGAGAGGCCATGAGGTCCGGGGTGATTGGACGGAGCCGGCCTGTCAGATGAGACGGCCAAACGACCAAGAGGACGAGGAGGGTCTTCCAAGGGATTCCATTCGACGCCGCCGATGCGCCAACCAGGTGACGACGGTGGAAAGCCGTGCCAGAGGGACCCAAGCCACGCTCTCCTGACTGGATGATGGGCAGCCACTTTGGAGCAGCCAAGGTTGCGAGTACATCCATGCAATGAGCGCTGAGCTGAAGCTGGGTCTTGCTCTTGTTCCCCCTCCGCTATACGCTCCATATCCACAGGGCGGAGGAGAGATGGAGGCTTCAACCCATTGCCACCGCGTCCCATGGCCAATTCCGCCCAGCATGGAAAGCTACATGAAGCCGTTCCCAAGGATTCGAGACGGTCCGCCGGGCGGGAAAGCTTGTCAGCAGAAGCGGGCAACTCCAGCGGACGGAAAGCTCAACGTGACCTAGGAGGGAAAAAAAGCGCTGGAGCCCAGAGGGATTGAAGCTATCCGGCCTCGCACGCCAAAAAGTGACGGACCACTCACAGGAGCGAAACGGCACGGGTAACGGTGCGGTGCGAGCGGAGCGTTTCCACATGGTTTGGCTTAGGGAAGAGGATGATGCCGCAAGACCACCGGCGCCACTTGCATACATCGATGGCTGTTTACAGTAATCGGCTCGTTACAGTACAGTATACGCAATACGGAGTCCCGTGGAGAACGGAGGAGTTGACAAGCAAGGGACCAGGGCAGAGAAGATGCCACATGCAGGCATCGAGTCTGCGTGACATGGGCCAAAATGCCGATGGAAGAAGCCCAGAAAAGAAAAGAGCCCCATGTTCGCATGAAAAAAGAAACCCGTACCGGCCCAGACCCGTGAGCGGATGATCCGCTGGCGGCCGTCTCTTAGCCCGTCACTCGCACTAACAAAGCCCATCTCAGACGCCATCACGAAGCCAAAGAGGTTACTTGTGGTGAGCGCTTTTCGCCGTGCTAAGCTCCATGTACCCTGGGGCTCTCTCACCTTAGTACAGTACTAACATGCCTTACCTTACCTTACCTACTAGGTAGTACTAAGTTACTGCTATCGCGGCAAGAGAAAACTAAGAGAACGTTGAAGCAAGGATTCGCCTTTTTTCTTCAAGCTCATGTGAGGAACGACTTTAAAGCTTCAACCCGCTTTGGGCCCCGTTAGCTGAGTTTCTAGCTCGGGCACTACTAATTGTATTGCTCCAGTCCAGTACAAGTACAAGTACAAGCACAAGTACTCGTGTTGAATTAATTCACGGCGGCTAAGCCCAATCTTTTGCTGAAGATCCAACGTTCCTATTGAGAGGGGAAGCTTCGGCTTACAAGGGTAGCTTGGGGATGAAGCTACGGAGCTGTGTTGAGGGGAAAATGTCAGTTGACGGTTGCTGCGCCGAGAGAAGCTGATGCCGCAGCCCGTTTTCGCGACGGAGGGGGGGGAATCGAATCGAATCGTCTGCGTCATCCAGCCGTTGATCATCGTTCCAAGCTTATATCTAATTTCGTTTCCGTAAAAATGCAACAGCCGCTGAAAAAGCAGGGACAGCCCATGGATGCTATACTATGTGAGCTATTAAATCAAGCACATCATCGTCACGGCGCCAATGCCGTTATCCAAAACACCCGGCCCTTGTCGGATCGCATCTGACTGCTGAAAAAAGATTCCCCCAAGTCCTGTGACTGGCCACGTGGAGAACGAGAGCCGGCTTTTCGCCACTGTGGGAAAGTCCAGTCTCTTTTGGTTTCTTCTTTAGATACAATGTAGTTAGATGGGCCATGTGGTTGACCGAAGCCTAAGCTGGCACGTTGTTTTTTTGTCTTTTGGGTGACCCGTATGCCGGGCGCTTGCTGCCGCGGTGTCATTGGGCGCCCAGCGACAAGAAAAAAAAGCAAGGTCGGCCGGGCTGGTAGACTGAACAAAGAACAAACTGCTGATCTTGACATTGTTTTTTTTTTTTTAGTACTTGATTTGGGATGGGCGATGCTACGCCAAACGGAGGCATATCGGTGCCCGTTGGTGAAGAGAGGGCCAAGGCTTTGTTGGACCTGGTGAGCATCATACGGCGGTGTTGGTCACGAACCGTTTTTTTTTTTCTTGGATGACTGGATATGGGCCTATGAGCGAGTTAACAAAAAGAGAATGTGTTGCTTTGTGATTGCATTCCACGTTCCACGAGCCGGACTGGCCGGGAGATCAAGTGAAAGAAGGTGGCAGTCACATCATGAGAGTTGAATCTAGCCATACACAGTACATGACGTTTTTCAGCTGTGAGGATGGATGGCAAGGGAATTTTCGCCAAATAAAGATGGAGGTTCCATCTTCTCGAGGCTCGTGATGGGAAAAAACGACAGTGGCTCAGCTTCTGCTTCTACCGTTGCTTCTACGAGTACATACTACCTCTTTCTTTCTTTTTTTTCCTTGGTTTTTCTGTCCGATTATTCCGCAAATCCGGCGGCAGACACACGCCCATTTCGCCCTATCCAAGCCTCACAGTTCTCCCTCTTCCTCCGAGTCTGGCGATGGCTTTGACTGCTATTGGCATAGGCGCGCCAAACGCGGGCAGACAAACCCTCGAAAAGGGAAATCTTCACTCGCCATCATCTATCATTTTTTCCCGCTTCTCCTTCTCTTTCCAGGTTCTTTGCACAAGATTTGACTCTCTTCTCTCCCCCAAGGTCCCTCTTGATAGGACAAATTCCGCTGCCAGTTTCCCCTCCCCCATCAAAAAATCACTAGCCCATTCCCATTCCTCACACATGCATGCAACCAGTAAGAAAATAAGAAGAAAAAGGCATATCCTTCTTTCCACCCAATGATAGCGACCCGCGAATGAGAAGCGTGGCGGTGAGCACATACATGTCCACGAGACGAAAATCCACACACACACCACAACCCACGCTTCTTCTTTAACCAAACAAAACACCGACCAGCTTTTGCTTTTCCCCCTCAAGCGAATTTCGCTACTCTGTAGTAGAAATGAATGATTCCCATTCGTTAAAATTCCAGGGATCCAACGAATCCTGCGTTGCCATGGTTTTCTACTCCAATGTGCCCACACACTTGAAGCTCTCATAGCTTCAAAATCGCATCCAATGCTACCCTACACCTCTCACCAATCTGCCAACAGTAACCAAAAAAAAACCACACCTCTCACAAACCCAGCAATAATCAACCATCTCATCTAAAACCCCAGCCACCCCCAGCACACCGTCTCCAACCTCCCAAGGTATCAATCAATCATATTCCAATCCCCCTAGAAAGAGGCGCCGCCACAGCGCAATCCCCGCGTTCCAATCAGCTCTTGCTCCTTCTCTACCTTGGCTACCTATCTGCCTTGTAAGCCTACGAAAGCGAAAAAACCCCCAAGCAAGGGGGCCGGTGAAAAAAACATCCCGTCGCATTGCATACCTATGTATGTATGTATGTATATTGTTCCGATGACCGGAAACCAACCCCTTCTCCATGAGGGGAAATCTTCAATACAATGTACGAGTACAGTACCGCCGTCGTGAAAAAAGTCATTTTTACCCCAGGAAAACAACCAGTATCAGGTCGTTCTCATTGGACCAGGCCTCCTGAATCCTTGCCGCAAAACTTACACGTAGGCAACCCTCCCCCAGAATCCCGTAGTTGTAGTAGTATTGTCCCTTTTACTTTGACACCTTTATTAGCGTTTCTACTAGAGCCGTGACGCAGGGGGTGTTGAGAGAGAGGGCCATGTTGGACGGCCCCGGGAGGAGAAGGATGGGAAGATGAGGGGGGGAATTAATGCGCTGGCCCTGCGTCGGAGCTACGACGGTAGTGTAGAATGGGGGGGGGGGGGGGGATGGGGATGTGCTGGCCGATTCGCTCATCGTCAAACTTCTTGAGGCTGGCTAGCTTCAAGTGCCGGGCGACTCTGGATGTGCTGTTATCGATCATGGGACGCCGGGACGTTTCGTCAATGGCTTTCTGAGGTACCGGCGTGTAGATCGGGTTACTTGGGGAGTATTCCGGCTGGATTTGATAACATACTTGTAGAGGAGCTGTCATTATTTGGATGCTACACGTGCTTTGATCAAGCTTGCCTGGTGTTCCATGCAAGTGTGTAAGTGAGTAAGCTACCTTGCTTGTTGTACCTATTACCCCATCATCGCCTCAACGGCCCCAAGCTTGATTGCCCTCCCCTGTTTGATATGTGTTTCGATCATTCCGTCTGGTCCAGTTTTGCCCATTCTGCTTCTTTTCGTTCTTAGTTTTTGAGATTCCCTTCTTTCCACCTTCGTGCTTCAAGCTTCATCGTCCTCTTGCCATACCGGCAGGAACACGTCGACCACAATGGGCTTGCTAAACAGCTTCCCCTCGGAATGCGGATAGCTGCCCTTCATAATCGCAGCATTCACGACGCACGTCTCCTTGCGGCCGGTTCTCCCCGCCAATGCCTCATAGTCGCAATCCTCAGACTCCGGATTGCCCCCATAGCCCACGCCGTCATCGTTGCTGTCGTGACCGCCTCTCTTTTGGGCAGCGACGCTGGAGCCTTGCTCTGATGATGCATCCAAACATGTCCCCGCGGGCGCAAATGTCGTGGTGGCCGTCTGTTGGCTGTCTTGATAGCTGGGCCGGCCTGGATGTGAGCCGTCGTTTGCGAGGGCCGGCATCTTGCCTGCCTTGCCGGTGAGGTCGACCAAGCTGATCTTGTTGTTGCTTGCGCCGGGATCCTTCCATGCCATGGCGGCCCTCTCTGCGTAGGGCGTGGCTTTGTTTTTGAGGTCCCAGAGCACCCGCTCCGCCCCCCGCCCGTCGTGAATATGACCGCAGACTGCTAGCTTGGGTCTGACTCTCCAGAGAGCCTGTCGCAGGGCCTCACAACCAGCGGATCGTTGCCCATCTGGCTGATCGCAATGCGTGCGTGGCGGCGTGTGCGTCACCACAATGTCCGTCTCGAGCGGAATGAGCTCCCACAACGAGGTGAGGTCAGCAGCACTGCCATCGTCATGGTCTTTCGGGGCTTCATAGTAAAAGGCCCATAGTCCGTTGCGAGGAGAGTACGGGGAGCCAAAGATGGTAAACTCGGTGTGCGGCCCCGTTGGTGATTTGAGACGGATTGTTGCCGAGTCGTGGCAGAGATACGTGAGGGATGGCGATGAAGCGAGCAGGTTGATGCAATCTGCCGGATTTTGCTTGACCTTGTTGTGAAAGGAGTCGCCATGATGAAAGTAAAAGTCTTCATCCAAGGTGACATCGTGGTTGCCTAGTTCCTCATCAGCATCGAACGGTTTTGTCAAGCCTACACAGAATGATCAACACTTACCTGCCACGATAATCTTGGCTTCAAAGTCCGCCTCTTCGAGCCATTTCACTGCCCTGGAGAGCTTCACGATTTTCAAACACGGCCAGTTAGTCGTCGCACAGAAGCGTGACGTCAAGGGCGTTGGAGATGCGAGACCAACCAAGCACCCGCCAAAAACGGAAGCGAGGGACGGACAGCTTACCTCTGAGATGCTTCCTTTGTTGGTGAGGTCTCCGGCATGGATCAAAACATCGCCGGCTGGGAGCTTGATGTTGCAGTTGTGGGTGTCGGAGATGCAGACAATCCGTGTCTTGCGCAGCTTTGGAGTCGCCATTGTGACGATGGTGATGAGGATGCCTGTTGGAGCAATCGGCTGCTCTTGGTTTACCCGAAGAATTGCAAGAAACAAGCAGGCTCTGGGATCCCCGCAGAACAGTGATTCTGATTCTCCAGCTGCAACAGACGTGATGACAAGTGTTTTATATGCTCTGCTCCTCCCCCCCCCCCCGGGAAGGGAAATTATGTGTCGTCCCAGCAGGAAGAGCATTGACTCCCAGGCCGTTGTGATTCGACCAGCTAACTCGCAACTTGGTGTACCACAGCATATAAGCCGTGGGCGTTGATTGGCTGCCGGGCTGGCCTGTGTAGCTCCATCTACACCGATTTCTCTCGTAACGTGTAATTGGTATGCAGGCATGGCCTTGGAATTGTTTGCTCCAGATGTCATTTTCACCATTTCAGCCCGCCAAAGCCTGCCAGCCCTGTCCAAAAATAGGCTCGGGATTTTGTCTTTGCAGGCGATGAGGTCATCTTCCACGTGTGTCACCTCGACCAATTTCTCGTGTATGTCGCCCGAGATTAAGCCCATGCTGTCCTCCCGCAGGACGTCGACGAAGCATCTGGAGACATAATACCTATGCTCGCACATGTATGTAGACGCTGCTTCTCGAAGTCTCCGCGATGTTGGAGCCTAGCAGTCAAAGCTCCGATTGGGACGGGCCGGGTTGAGCTTTGGAGAAGATGCACTCCGCATTGGCACGGGACAGCATGTTCTGGCGAGGATCGGGATCCTGGAGATATTGTATCAAGTGAGCCAGCCACCCTGCACGGCCATCACGCCGATTTTTCAGCTTCACCGCCCGTGTGCTCGCGTGTGCCCTTGATAGCCGTCCTCCCCGTCCACTGCGCGCCTGCGGTGATGGGAGTCGAGCAATATTCCCCACCGGTGGCTGAAAGAATAGTTTCAGGGCACACCAGCCATCAAGTCGAGATTGCTGACGCAGGAGGTGATTGGGGGCAAAGCTCTGCCAACTACTGGGTAGTGTTGACGATGGTCACAATCATCGTATGATTGAGTCAACTGAGCACACCGACGTACTGGCATGCATGTATAGAGGCCTGTCGCCTGTTGGTGTCTCATGGCACACGTATACTTGTAGCTCGTAGAGAGATGCCATTGCGCCTCTTGCGATTCTGCTGGGGCCATCCAACTCATTGATATAGGCCGACTCTGCTGTAGCTGCATCGTCAGCGAATGCTCCATGCGAGGACATGTGTAGAGAAGCAACGCAGGCCATGGCAATAAGAGAGCCGAGCACGAGCATTTGATGCTTACCTACCAGACGGAACAGATCGACAGTCGCACAGACGTGTGTCTTGCACATGCATCGCATCAGAAGGCACTCTTTGGTTTCCCGCTCGCTAGAGCTGGCACAATTTGTTGTCTGCAGCCTCTTTTCTCATCTCGTCAGGCTAAACGAGTAGGGCAGTGAAGACGAATATAGCAAGCCGTCAGCTGCTGCGAGTCGTTTTTGCCATGATTCCCCCTTTCATCGCATTTTGCCTTTGCAATGCATCGTGCATTGGAGTAGCTGTGTATCGATGTCGAAACATGCTAGAGCGAACATTCCCACGAGAGGCACGAGGAGAGTGAGGCAAAAGACCGCGGACACATGCATCTAAATCTGACGGTGCACGTCCATGTCCATGCCACAACGGGATATGCCCCCCTTTCTCCTCGCCTCATGTTGATGCGAGCTGTCTTTTGCCCGCGTCCAGGGAGGGAGACACACACACTCGCAACACAACAAGAATTCCTCGTACGGTACTCGTAACAGCACACGCATGTACCGATACGCAGCCACTCGAGTTACTGGCTCGTGCCGGTAGTATCAGCTATGTACCTCGTAGGTGCGCCCATGTAAGCACCGCCATGCACGCATGCTCGAGTATTCCCTGGTTGCAGGTGACCATGGCATGGCCGGGGTTGGCCTGGTCGTCTGGGGCAATACGGTAGCCGCCACATGTACGTACGTACTTGTACATGCAGCGCTGGGCTGATGCTGGCACTTTAGCAGATGCCGGGGGAAAAGCGGTACAGTTTGGTCAATTCAGGTTGCTATTGGATTCCATTGATGCCTTTGCTGTTGGTGAAGGACGACGATGGTCGTTGATGTGATTGGGGCTGTTGAGTGGGAGTTGAGGTTGCAATGTCGCGGAATGGCACCGGCTTGCTGCTACAGGAACGAGTGAGTGCCGACCGTCAGGTAACCAACGCCGGCGTGCTCCAGTAACAAGAGTCCCGGCAGGGGTCCTTGCCCACTGGAAACAGGCGACAGGGCCCTGTAGCCAAGCCTTGCCATTGACGGATTGAATCCATGGACCCGGCCCAGCCATTCAATTGCAAGACTCAGTGACTTGGACTTGCACAAGAACCCTCTTCTCGGCTTGATGCCCTCTTGACGACTTGCACATGACAAGGCCGGAGAGGAGAACAAGGTTTGGATGGAAAAACTACCTACCATTGGAACAAACCCGCCACCAACGAGAAAAGCTTCTTGCATCGTGGCAATCAAAAGACAGTCGACGGCAATCACCTTTGCGTTCCACTGATGATATCAACCCATGTCGCCAAACCGCCCGAATCGACCTGGCGCCTCCTGGGCAAATGAGCGGGTGGGCCACCGGCCTGGAGCCAACGGCGGGTGAGTCGCTCCAAAGCGCGGCTTGGCCGGGTTTTGCAGCAGGAAAAATCCATGAAACCCTTGAACGCATTGAAAGGCAGCCCGTGATCAAATTTGCCTGAGCAGACAGAAAGTACCGGTACTCGGCGTGCGTGCAGCGGCTCGTTGGAAGAGCACGGAGCAGTACTACAGCTCGATGCTTCAATCACGGCACTGCTGTCCCCTTTAGCAGCACCGCCCGTAGCGCAGCTCGCTAGCCGTTAGCTGCCCCCAGCCGGCCAACCACACCACCGCATCGCCAACTTGTGCCTCTAGCTCGCCTTTCTTCCCCCTTCTCCGAGATTACACTTGAATGTACTACTACGCAACTGCTGCGACGACGACGCTGCAGACTCTCGACTCTCGCCATCTTCTTCTTCGGTTGAAGCTCATTGCCTGGCCATCAGCGGCGACTGCGGCCAGCCAGCTTGACTGCCATTGCGTTGTCAAGAAGAGCTTCCGTTCGCCTGAGCTTTGACCTCGTTTGTTCCGTTTCCCTTTCCAGCCCTTTCACTCGTTTTTTAGACAAAAGAAGAAAAAAAGAAGAAAAAGAAAAGAAAAAGAGAAAAAAAGAAAATACTACTTGACCCCATGTCTCAGGGGAGCATCGCGACAAACCGACTCCACGAGGCTTGGTGAATTTAGTCGACGCGACAATCGACCACTTTGACCGCCACTACCAACTGCATTTCCATTTTTTTTCCCATTCTCAACTTGTCATTCGATCCATCATTTTTATTCTTTGTCCTTTTCACATCTCCCGCACCGCTTCCGCATCAACTGACTCGATTCCGCATTCGACTTTGCCATCACCAAGAAATAGGGGGGAAGCGTTACTGGTACACTCGTCAGCTCGGCTACCACTATGGCTGCCATTTCAGCGGCTCGGGGCGCTCCCACAGCACTGACGCCACCGAGCAGCAGCCATGGCGACGAACCATCGTGGAGGTACCGGGACCATCATGAAGTAAGTTGACGACGACAACGGCTGGAGGAGTTTTTTTTTGTCAGGAGCGCCACATGCCGATCTTGTGAGGCGCTGCATGGCCGCATGACATTGATGGTTTGCTGGGACTTGACTCTGTTGGAATGCTCGAGAGGCCTCGTCGACTAACCTGCAACCCTTTCAGGAGGCGTATGGCGAGACTGGCGCTGGATACTACGACGACGCAGCACCGCGACTCAACGGAAACTCTGACCGCTTCGACTCACGAAAGATGCCCGCCGACGTGGTGTCCACCCCCCGATGGGACGCACACGCAGAGAGCGGCGTCCAGTCGCCCGAGTTCGACAACATCCGCTCAAACTGGTCGACCGGTGAGCCGGAGACGGACGACGTACCCGAGCGTGGGCGCGCGGATTCCACTGTCGGCTCCGAGGTGGAATCCAAATGGATACACCGCGACAAGCTGGCGCAGATAGAAAGCGAGGAGCTGCAGGCAGCCGGCTTCATCCCCAGGTCACGGGCCCCCAGCAAGCAGCGGCGGGACAAGAGTGCTCGGCGAGGCACCGACGCCTCCGAGGCCGTCCGGTCCAAGCAGGACCAGACACCCGAGTCTGCAGATGCCCCGGCGTCGCCTTGGGATTTCAAGGTTCCGGACGAGGTGATGGAGGAGGGAAATGCCTCTGCTGCGCAAAACGCAAAGGGCGGTTCAAGGATACCGGTCTTCAAGGTCAGTCGGACACACGGCAACGTGATGCCGAAACAGGTACTAACGACATCATCTACAGACACGCTCGAGGAGTGGTAGTGCCACCCTCAGAGAGTTGGCTCCTAGCGCCCCGATCGAAAAGGCCGAGAAGCCCAAGCCGGTGCAGCGGTCCACCACGGAATCCTCGCCCAAGAAGCCGACGGCTGCGAGCCGAAAGAACTCGGAGCCCGTCAACTCGAAGCCGAACAAGGCAGTCGGACGACCCAAGACCCGATCAGGCCCCAGCAAGGACTCGACGAACAGCAACGCACGGCCCAGCACCCGCTCTGGAGAGGCCACTCTCAAGAAGCAGCCCGAGGGCAACCCGCCGTGGATGGTGGACAGCTACAGGCCCGACCCTCGCCTCCCCCCCGACCAGCAAATCATCCCCACCGTCGCCAAGAGACTCATGCAGGAAAAGTGGGAGCAGGAGGGCAAGTTTGGCGATGCTTACGACAAGGACTTCCGGCCCTTGAACGACAACGTGCTGCCGGTGTTCCGAGAGAACTCTGCGCCGCTGGAAGAAGCGGCCAAGCAGGACCCCCCGGCCGAGGAAGACGTGCAGATTCACGACGCGCCAGGCCAGACGGACGAGTGGCCGCTCAAGGCAGAGGCTCCCAAGAGCCCGCCCCCGGCGCGACTGGGCTCGTCCTATTCCACCATGCCCAAGATCTCAGACATTCAGCCGCCAAAGAGCCCTCTGCCTGGCCAGCGGCCCCCCATGACGCCACAGGGAACACAAGGCACGGCGCAGTCCCAGAGCCAGCTCAGCGAAAAGGCCCAGAGCACCCAGAGGATCCCCGATGTTCCAGACGACCAGGACCAGAAAGGAGGCTGTGGCTGCTGCGTCATCATGTAAACCCAGGACATTCGCAAACCACATACAACAATGCAGGCATTCTTCTGCTCATTAGCAAAGCAACTTACATGTTATTATAAACTAGACAACTATCAGAGAGCACAAAACCAACTAATCCGTACATATCGAGAGAACACTCTTTTTCAATTCTTTCTCAACCCGCTTTCTCTTCCCCCTTTTACGACGTTACGAAACTACCCCCAAAAGCTGTTTGACTTAGCCGGCAACATTTATTCTTTTTCTTGTTAAACAGCAACAACAAACTTGTCGACCAACTGATTACCTAGCGGCTTGATCGAGTTTTTCTTTTTTTTTATTTGTCCTTTGCGCACAACCAATCCCCGGTCGAGCCCCGAGTTGGAGCCTAGACGAAGACGAAGCTGGACTACAACGTGGCAAAGAGGTGGAAGAAGACACGTCATCTGTCTATATACGCCAGAGAGGGAGCCTTACTCGGGGCTGTTGTCACCTTGTGTACTTGTGGAATCCTACAGATTCTGGTTTCTGTTCACTATCGTTCGACCCGTCAATCTTTGTTAATTTCTCTCCTTTTTTTTCTATCTGTATTGCGTTTGCGTTTCTGTTTTTTTTTAAAACTGTTTGCGAGAGAGGTGGCTTTCTTGACTTGACCCCATCTCGAAGTTTTTTTCATTACTACCATTCGAACAAGAGAAGGGTGTTACTGGCGCCGGAGCGGAAAGGGGGGGCTTTTTTTTTTTTCTTTGTGTCTTTCTTCTTCTTCTTTTTTCTTCGCGTTTTAGGTATCTTTGAGAAGAACTTGAATCCCCTCAAACTTTGGAGAAAAGAAGTTGCCGGTGTGCTGTGTGTGCTGGTTTTTTTCCGTCTTCCCTACCTATGGTGATGTGTGCAAGGATGCCCCAAGATGATGTGAAACTCTTTTTGTAGATTGGTTGAGTATAGATTGATTTTTGCGCTTGGTTTTTGTTTTTTTGTCTTTTTGTTTTTTGTTGTTTTTGTTGTTAGCGGGCGGGACTGATAGACGAGGTACCGATACATTATATCCAATTTGAATTTTTTTTTTACTGCGGGAT